AGAATGTTAAATTCTACACACTAGAGTGTAATATTCAACACACAAATTTTAACATTCTACAAAATGACGAAAAATTTTTTACTGTGAAGTCAAAAAAATATATCTAGCACACAAATTTTTTACAGCAGAAATAAATTTCCGAAAAATTTCGGATGAAACCAAAATTAATCTAATATTTTATCTGAGGGGCTTTGCTTCTCAAACCCCTACCGGGACTTCACCTCTTCAGAATCATTATAGTCGAGAAGTTTGTCTGCAAATTTCCTGACAGTGACTATTATCATCATATAGACGATAGTAGAACATCCCTTCGTTTTTGCGCTTAATATTTTTAATGAAAATTAATGTTGAATCCAAAAATTTGATCCTTTTCAGAGCTCAGTAAGTTAAAACTTGAACAATGTTAATGATTACTAATAATTGTTGTCATCAATGAACACTCGAATTTGTGTAATCTGTAACATGATATATGATTTAATGTAATATCTGTGTAATTTAAATTCTATCCCACAATGTGGTATAAGCAATTACAGAATAATATATCCGTATAAACAGTGATTGAGATTTATTAAATCATTATTGACCGATTTAGTAGATGTAAAAGGGTATTAAATTCACTTATCTAACTAATGGATGTATTGTTATCGCCGTCCAGTATTACCAACGCTATTTTAATAGTATCAATGCGCAATTGCCGTGGATTGACCCATTGCCAATAGTTACACTGTAATTATCATACTGTCCTGTATACATGTGCACTAAATATTTATTGTTCGCAAGCACATTTATACGGGTTTGATACTGTTAGTTTATACTGCGCTCCTATAAATTTCTCCGTATATAAACAAATCAAATAAAATTATCATAACAAGAACAACAAATACTATTACTCTTTAAACAGTAATTTTGAGAATGGGTTGATAATTATAATTAGCAGCTGAAGAAATTGAATAAAAAAGGAATAGGGTGAAAAATAATTCATTTACCGAATTTACAAGTAAGAAGCTGCTGAGAAAGCTGTAATATATATTTACTAGATAAAATTTACCGCGACCTTGTGCCAAAAATAACAATTATTTTTTTACTTAGAGAAATAAATGATTTAAGTCAATGGAATGAGATTCGTCGTTATATATATATATATATATATATATATATATATATATATATATATATAT